ACCAACACATTAGTCTTTCAATGCTAGTGACGTAATTATTTCGTTCGGCGACTAACCTCCCTCACCCCGTTGGTGGATCAAAAATGTATTTTTTTTAACCGGGTTTCTTAAAATTGTTGTATTGACGACGAAAATCCCAAATGACATCTAAATTGGTCGCCAAAATCATAAAAGCAAACAGGTCTGCGGTAGGCCTACTACATAAGTACTATACGAACTCGTGATACATACACGCGCGTGTTATTTCGTCAATAACAATGTTTATGAGCATGATAATGATGAATTTCAAGAAATGAATGAATTTAGGCTTAAGTTTCCTTAATTTTTACTTTAAAAAAAAAAAATAATTGAAATAGTACCATTCTCTAGGATTATGCAATATTATTCACCTTTGCCTATGAAAACACTGATGAGCATGATAATTATAAATCAAAATAAATATCGCAAATGAATAAATTTAATAAATCTAGAGTTTCCATATTTTAATTTTGAGAAAACAATAAAACAAAATTAATCAAATAAATATTACCATTGCATTAGTTTTTCTTCCACAAAACTGTTTACATTTTCCTAGGTTTAATTGAAATTTAATTTTTGGAAATAAATGACAAGTAGGTCATCATGCAGCTGTGACCAGTTTTCGCAGAGTATTATTCATACAAAATGCTATGACAGCAAGACGTCGAGTGATAATGAATATCGGATTGCCGGCCTAGAGACAGGCACACACAGTCTGATTTCTAGTAGATGACTGAAAACCTCAACGAAAGTCTCAATCACTTCCCGCCAAAAAAGAAATTATAGCGAAAGTTAACTTTTTCTGATTCGTCCAAAACCGAAGTTAAACCGAAAGTTACATTCTCTGTTTCGACCGAAACCAAAAGTAGGACCGGACGTGATCAGATGGCAACTCTCGGTGCCGCAACCGAATCCGAAATTTGGTCGGTCTCTAGTTCATGGCGCCCTGACTGAATCAATGAGGTCAGTTGCGAGTCGTACATTTAGAATGGAGGCCTGAGCACGTCATCATGTTTACATTTTAACTTATTAAAAAAAAATAATGAAAGTCCGCAACTATGCGACGTTTTCCCACTGGTTTAATCCTTCATTAAAAGCAATCAAATTCCCTCCCTTCAGATGTACCAGGCCTGGAATAGTCCTGACGCTCGACTCGTTTTAATAACGAGTGTAACATCAATATTATTGACATTCGTAAAATAAGTGTGATCATCTGAATTGACCTTTTTTTCCTCAGCTTTTACCGCAGCCAAAATAAGATTTGATTGAGCTATTTAAAATAATTTTTTTTTTATTTTTAAATTATTTTTAAAAGTATGAATTTTTTTTTTACAGCTAATGTAGAAAAAAAATAACTATTAAGTGTTTCAAATGTTATGACAATTTATGGGTAGCTAAATTTTTATTGTTTTCCTTTTGATTCACAATAAAAGTGGAAATTCCAGCAAATTTTCTATTTTCTTTGTTGTTTGTTCTGTGTGCTTATGTGTGGATTTGTAAATAGTTCTCTTTGTAAAACAATAATAAAATTGATTTTCTTTCTGTTTTATAACCCAATGTAATCATTTGATGCACCCACCATAAACTAACCATTCTAGGCAATTAAAGTCTTTTAATCTTTTGAGAATAAAAGAAACGTAGTTAATGGGTTAAAATGTTTCTGATAAAACATTTTGAGAACCTGTAAATGTTTTAAATTTAAAAAGAAAAAAAAAGGTTTGAGGACCTGTGAAGTTGTTATTTTAAAAATATATATATATTTGTAAAAGTTAAAGCAACGCCAACATATCAAGGTGGTCATCAAATAAATTAAGATTTAAATTGAATAGTTTTAAAGCGTTTTCTTTTCCAGCAGCGGTTCTAATCATGTAGTTGTTTTGATCCCAGCTTTGTCGTGAGTGAAGCATCAGTAAATAGGATTAATTTTTTTGTATTATCTTTCGATGTCTTGTGTTTATATGTCTTGTGTTTCTATGTCTTGTGTTTCGATGTCTTGTGTTTCGATGTCTTGTGTTTATATGGCTTGGTGATTTGTAAAACGTTTCCTTGGTTTAAATACGTATTTATTTATGGGATGAAAACGAATACGAAGAATGTATTAAATAAACAACAACATTTATTTGGATCAATAAAGCATCTTATCTTATTGTATCGGATATAGAGTACTGAAAACTATGTTTGTATCTAGTGTGTTGATGTGACAAAGTGTTTTGATTTTTTCTTTATTGCATACGACCAATGACTTATCAGCCGGTAAATAACTAAGTGTCGATGTTATATAAATATAAATGAATCCATCTGTTGCATGGAGCAATAAAGGGTTTATGAAAAGTGATTTTTGCATCGACGCTACGGTTACACCAGTGCCATAGAGTTGAAAATCCGAGGTTTTTAGGCCGTTCAAAGAAGTATTTGAGAACCACCGAACTTAAGCTTTGATAATTAAAACGCAATTCCCCCCCCCCCTTCCCTTTTGACAACTCTGTCCTATGGTACTCTCGTCCCCAAACCAATCATGGCGTGACGTCATAATTCGTATAAGGCTTTTAGCGAGGTATTTATAGTTTTAATGTAAAATTTTCAGGATAACCAACCCCCACCCCCCCCCTCCAACCCTCACTCTTTTTACATTCAACTGATGAGTTAAGATGGTTATTTCTGGCTGCACAAATTAAGTCTGCACAACTAAATCGTTTTCTTTATTTACCTTTAACTTGTTTCAAGTGGCCGGTTAACACATTTTTCTTCAAAGGCTCACTTAAACAAATAATTTCATTTCAAAATCTTTCACACAAAAAAACAAAACAAACAAAAATAAAAACATATTCCTCAATCCAGTCGTTACAAGAGACTTAATCTTATCCAATCTCGCCAAAGTACATTCTACTTTATGGAGTGGAAACGAAACAGCTCCCTTCTTTTAGTCTGACTTAAACCCTTCGTTGATCTAGACAAGGTGCATTTAACTGTTCTTGCAGCGCCACCAAACCATGATTCTTTTATTTTTTTTCCAATCTTGATTTTAAAATATTTTCCAAAACCCAACGATGATTACAAAACATTATCCAAAAACCCAATGATGATTACTGTAACGGACAATGTTTTCACATGAAAACAGAGAGGTAGCATGAGTGAACAGTGAATGGTGTTGACCATGTTTTGTCCAAGAGGACAATGAATTGTATTTTGAGAGGACAATGTGAGCTCCACGTTTTTGGAGAGTAAAATTATGTTTTTGTCAGAGCGGTTGTTTTGCACGCTTTGCTGGTAATAAATTATGAGTTGACTGAGATAAGGAGAGCTGAGCGCAAGGAGAGTCAGAGTTAGTCGGAGTTGAGTTAGAGTTGAGATGTAGTACAGTTGAGCTGAGTTATAGCAGTGTGAGGACGTGTCTTTCTGAGTGATGGAATATTATATATATATATATGTGAAATGATTACATTCATGCAAGGATTATTATTAATATTATCTGTGTAAATTGTGATTTAATAAAGTACTGTCAGTTTAACCAGGATTCAGTATTCTTATTTGCGTGCCTGGATAATACGAGGAAGAACGATGAAGTCTTAGCCGGCATTCTGAATTACTAACTTAAAACAAGTAACCGTGCTACTGACATAACCCACAGTTGCGTGCCTGGATAATACGAGGAAGAACGATGAAGTCTTAGCCGGCATTCTGAATTACTAACTTAAAACAAGTAACCGTGCTACTGACATAACCCACAGCCTAAGAAATAAGTTACAATGATAATGACGTCAGAGCATGTGTGTTACAAATGGTGTCAGAAGTGGTGTAACGACGATGCGTTACAAATATTGTAAAGAAGTGTCAGGCCTGCACAACTTAAAATCTAAGGCGGGCCGTAATACTTTATCAAAACCTTGTGCGGGCCGAACGAAAATAGGACAGGGGTGGGGAAGTTATTAGGAAAATAATAATAATAAAGAATATTTTTGTTACTTCGCGGGCCGGAAAGTGGGCGATGGCGGGCCTCATGCGGCCCGCGGGCCGTAGGTTGTGTAGCCCTGCACTTGATCATTTACAATAATTCTAAGCGACTTATTTCTCAAGAACTATCTGTTAAATAAAATTAAAAAATCAATGAATTCCCCACCACAAACAAACCCCCTCCCCGCGTGACCCTTGTTTTTGCTCGCACCACATTACAGACTCCGGATTCGCAGTGGCGTCCGTCAGGAAAGTGTCGCTATGATGTCTCAAACCCGGGGTAGGGGCCTCGTCTGTCCGAGTCCCTCGCGAGCCGCCGATCAATGCCCGGCCAGGAAGAGCTCGTCACGCGTCCGATGCCGTGATTACACTCGTGAGCGTCGTTTAAGACTCTTGTATTTGGTGAACACCCACCCCCTCTCTTCGGCAAGATGACGCGGGTGGGCGAACGTCCTAATGGATATTTAAATCTCAAGCCCTGGTGGTGGACGTCTACATTTCATCTCTGGGTGAACTTGTGTCAGAGGGATTCTAATTTGTGATGGATTATAGTTTCAGACGTATCGACATTACCGTTACATGGGATTGGACCACAATGGCTTACTCACAATGGCCCAGATACAAATGTGTGCATGTGTATTTATTTCTCTAAACAAAAACCCACACATACAAAACACGTCCTTTTTCGTCGAAGTTTATGACAGGAAAACACTTTTAGGATGAAATGTTGAACGTTTTTTGAAACATCTCTTTACTGAGGTAACCAGCGTCAGGCTGCTAACGGGAGGTGCCATGCCTAGGGTGAAAAGCGTCATTTAACAAGAGTCGGGTAACAAGCGTCTGGTAACAAACTTCAGGTAACAAGCGTCTGGTAACAAACTTCAGGTAACAAGCGTCAGTTAACAAGCGTCAGGTAACAAGCGCCAGGTAACCAGTGTCAGATGAGTGTGTACTTCCTTGCCGACATGAAGTACAACGCGTCCATCTGGAGTGAGTCCGCGCGTGCGTACTCCAACCACTCCAGGAGCCCGCTGGTCAGCGACGAAAACAGGACTGTCATCGAGGTGGTCAACTACGTGTTTCTGTGCGGCTTCATCTCGCTGTTCGGCATCGCGTCCAACTCCATCAACATCGTCATCTTCTTCAAGCAGGGGCTCCGGACCACCATGAACATCAGCTTCTTCGGACTGGCCATCTCGGACCTGTGCAGCCTCATCAGCCTGCTGTTTTTCACCATCTTGCTGAACCCGCTCGTGGAGAACTCCGACATCCCGATGATCTCCAGGGAGATCCAGTACCTGGTCGCCGGCTGGCCCTACGTCTGCTTCACCCGCATCACGAGTCTCATCACGGCCTTCGTGACGGCGGAGCGATGCCTGTGCATCACGTGCCCGCTCAAGGTCAAACAGATCATCTCGCCACGACGGGCCACCGTGGCCGTGTGCGCCACTTACGTCATCATGATTCTATTCCTGGTTCCGGAATACGCCACGTCGTACATCGACTGGAAGTTTTACCCGCCGAGGAACACCACCCGGCTCGGCCTCGTCTTCACCAGCAACAGAAAGAGCATGGAAGGTCTGGTGTTTATTCTCAACGCGAGCCTCGGCGCTCTGTCCTACCTCCTCGTCGTCGTCTTCACCGCCATCTTGATCTGGAAGCTCAAACATAATTCAAAATGGCGGGAGACGACGAACGGAGATCGGACGGCGTGGACGCTGAGCCGGGACAGGAAAGCGGTCAACATGGTTCTGCTCATCGCGAGCGTTTCGATCGTCTGCTCCGCGCCGAGCATCATCCTGTCGGTCGTGACCTTCTTCGAGCCCGAGTTCAGCATCCTCGGGTTTTATCGTAACATTTTCTTTATCACGTGGTCGTTCGCCTTCTGCTTCGGCGCCCTCAACTCCAGTGTCAACATCTTCCTGTACCACCGGATGAGCTCCAAGTTCAGGAAAAGCTTCGAGCAGCTGTTCACGGAGTCGCAGAGGTCGAAAGCCGGCGAGAGCAGCGAGCAGGGCAGCGAGAGTCGGTACATCGTCTTGGGGGCGAGGAACTTTCAAAGACGCGGGGTGTCGGACTGGAGCGCCAACCACGAGCCCCGCTACGTCACGCACTGGCGCAGTGAGAGGTTCGTCCCCTCCGATCATTTAGTTCACCGCTCGGACACGGGCACCGTTGACCTTTCCGAGCAGTCCGCCAGTTTTTCGGATAACCTGACCTACCATCCCGTGTCGCGGTTGCTTTGATGAGCGTGGGACACATCACACCGCCATTAATATGAACGAGGAATTACAACGTACGGATCTAATTTTTAAAAAAAAATAAACATTTAAAATTTACCGAAGGGAAAAATGTATGTGATGGAAGAAAGATTGTAAAACTTTTTTTTTAAAGAGATGTGTATCAATATAATGGAAAATAAATAACATAATCATGTTATTAATAAATAAAGTTTAAGGCAGATGGAAATATAAAGAAGACGAAGAATTTCAGGTTTGGTAAACTCACCAATAGGTTACCATGATCACAGGTTTTGTAAACTCATCAATAGGTCGTCATTACCGTGAGTTCTGAATTTTTTGCCGACAACCAAAATACAACAGTCTTAAGGACTTCAGAACACTGGCTTATTGGCAACATAACGGCACATCGTAAATGACGAGATATTTTCTTTTCTAAATCCAATAAATTTACATTCACAAGATGTTTGGGTGGGCATTAGTTCGACGTGGAGATGAAATGGTGCAATTTCATTGGGAATCAATCAGGCCCAGCCCCAAATGGTCTGGCATCTGTTGTCTTTGTTGATATCGTTACATCGTGTTCGCAAAACAGTTGGATTCGTCTGACTATGTGAGACCTTTAACCGTCATCTTTTCGTACTTTATTCAAAGCACTTCATTCCAGGTTATGACCAAAGATTCAAAAAGTAATTTTTGTTTTAATTTTTTGATGTGAGAATGGGAGAACAAGATGAAAGGAGGCAGGGATGTACATAGAACGAATGCACTCTGTCAACAGAATACTAACCTCGGTAAAACATATACACTGTGTCCGGAAAAAAGGGAACACTTTTTATGAGGGGGGAAACAAATGGTAAATATTTATGAGTTTTTTTTTTTTAATACCAAAACTCATTCTAACACAATGTTACATTTTACCAGCGACCTTTCGTTATCTCTTGGTTACTGTGTCAGGACTAAAATGAGTTTCATTTTTAAAATTGATAAATATTTACCACTGTTTTCTTCCGGACAAAGTGTATATCTCATTATATATCTATTACAGTTAACGTATTAATTTTGTTTTTACATTCAGGTTAGGCAAGTGAGGTTAGGCAAGTGTGTCCCCATTTTAAAAAAGGCGTTAGCGGGGGAAGGTGGGGGGGGGGGGTGTGCCATTGGAAGAGTCTTTGGTGTACATTTAGTTTCTCAATCGGAAGAGC